ATACCTGTGACATCTTTACAGTTTTATACATGCTTGGCTGATTGTCTCCTTTATGTTCTCCTTCTTACACATGCATTTTCTGATTCTGTCTTTTTGAGAACATTTATGAATTTATCTGGGTACAGGAAAGGTTAAAATATTTGTATAAAGTGCTTTCTATGTTGAACACTAAGAATCGATGACTTGACTTTTTAAGAAATTCCTCTTTGCCCTTCAATTATACTGTGGTYCCTCTTCAGAATCCAGAAATTTTTCCCTTTAATGGCACAGAATCTGGTTCTCTCCATGGTAATTAGAAAATTATGGCAATGAACTTGAAATTATTATATAAATACACTCCACATTGGATGGAGATGGTAAAGTGAAAGTACTAAGGACTCCATTCCCACATCACACATACTACCCAAGTGCTTGGGAATCCAGAAGGAGCTCTGCAGGTTTGTTATGATAGTCATTTGCCTTTGCTATCATTCGACTCAACTTTCACCAACATTAATATTAAATATGAAATCTGGTGGAATATAAAGGAAAATCCTGCCTTTCGCCCATAATCCCTTGTATCCCCATGAGGTAACGAGCAAACCCTATGTGATTACCTTAGAGCAGGGTTCATCCAGCTCACTCAGCAAGGGCCCCCTATTTGAATACTGACAGAGGAATGTATTTACATTTGCTTAGTTCTTTTCATTAAAATTAATGCAACAAACCATCCCTTCTTGCTTCAGTGTCTGGTTTTCACAAACTTCTGGCAAGAGCCCTTAGTTTACTCTCAGGGGTTCAAATAAGTCCAAAATAAACAGTACCATTATAATTTTYCTTCTCTGGGGGCTGCTAAGCATGAGGTGGGTCATTCAAAAGAAAACCAGCCCCTTTCTACTGTGCCCAGTCATTTTCCCAATCGCTGATCCCAATCTCTGGTTTAAGRGGAAATAAAGAAAGATATCCAATGGCCCAGTCATTTTTAAATGTTTCCAGAAATAGAGGATAATAAAGGAGCCAGAAATCCCACATGTATCAAAACTTCTGCTTCTTAGACACATCAAGGCAAATAAAAGTTGAGATTCAACACACTTGTATCTCCAGTTTCCATTTATAGCTACAAAACAGAGTTGGAAAGTGTACTATTATTACTAAATGGAGGAAGTTTCCAGATTTCTGTTTGCCCCACCATGCACATCACTCTCCCTCTGGACTAAAGGAACCTCACAAAGAAGAAATATTGGTGATAAAGGAAAATACCACCAAGTTCCAGATTCTTCTGATCACTGCTCACATCCATTGTCCTTGAGGTTTGAGCTGATCTCTACTTCAGAATAATCCAGATAGATTGAGGCCACCTGCTGTCCTCTGCCCATCTGGACCCTCCCGGGGACCTGCTCTCTGTGCTGCCTCATCAGATAACTTCCTTGTCCACAGGGCTGCAAAGCCTGGCCTTCCTTTGGCACATTTATCTTCAACCCCCAGTGCACAAGCTGGGTACACACTAGACTAACTCATTTATTTCTACTCATTTATTGATGGCCTTTCATAACCAAGTTATTAAGTCATCAATAACTTCAGAGAAATAAATGAATGGATCCAGAACTGGGCCAACAGATATTTAAGACATACACTGAAAATTTTAACTAGGATCAGCAGAAAGTCAACACTGGGTCATCARTGGAATTTCCCTCACCTGAGAAAAGCTCTTTCTCCATCTTTTCTTATCATTGGAACCCAGTATATTTCTTTACAAAGTAGTGAAATGAATGACTTCTCCAGTCACCCAAGTAAAGATGTGAGGGTACCCATATGGCTGCTCCATCTCAGTCTCCAGGAGCACAGCACTATCCTGACCTCATCTTCCTGCGAACTTAGACTTTGGCCCCACTTTGAGCCCCGCTGGCACTTGGAGCTCCATTTAGAGGGGAGGAATCTTGGCTGCTGAGAGGCATGACAGGTTTGCTTGGAAAGCTTTGCACTCTCCAGTTACCTCGGTTTGGTCATCTGTAAAACAGGAATAATAACAGAACATCCTTTACCATATTGTCGTAAGAATCTGAAGAGTTAACATACCCAAAGCACTAAGAATACCACCTGGCCAATGATAAGTATTCAGAAAGTGTTACCTCATCCAGCACTGTGGTACACACCACACCAGTTATCCCAGAGACTCAGGGGGCGAAGGCAGGRGGATTGCAAATTCTAGGCCAGCCTGATCAACTTAGCAAGACCTTGTCTCAAAATTTAAAAAAATAAAAGGAACTTGGTATATGGCTTGGTGGTAGAGTACCCCTGGGTTCAATCCACAGTACCAGAAAAAAAAATTATAAATAAATGAATATAGAATATATATATACACACACAAACATACACACATACATAATATTTTATATATAGTACACACACACACACACACATATATATATATGTACTGTGTGTATATATATAAATATAAATATTTATAGTATTTCTATATGATTTTAGGAAGTTAGAGACCAACCCAATTTTCTCAATTCATTTTACGGACAAGGAAACTGCAGCCCTGTGAGTTTAGTCAGCTGATTAAAAATGCCTGTGCTTTCCGACATTTAAAGCCTGAGTGAGATGCTGCAGAAAAGACATCGTCTTTGGACACCAGCGGTTCTAGACTGCAATTCCAGCTCTGTTATCTTTATCCCGTATGACTTGGAGCTGACTTCTCAGGCTCTTCCTGTGCAAATAGTGCTAACACACCCCACCTTGACAGGTTGTGGTGAGAACTGAAAAGTAATGAATGAAAAAATTAGTGGCTGGATAATGTCACTAGCTCACTGCCTAGTGTTGATGAGCGCTCCATAGCTGGAGACTGCATTATTGTCCATGTCACTCAGCTGAGCAACTGCAGGGGGCGGTGCTAGAATGCGGGGCTCCTGACTGCCAGGAGACTTCACTGCTCAGCACCCCCCTTACAGAAAAACAAACAAAAAGGAAATTTGCTGGCACTCCTTTTTATCAGTTTTATTCAAATCTTGAATCTTGTCAGTAGACATTATCAGCTGTCAAAAATCACCCTTGCCTGTTGATAAACAACACTCTATATAAGTCCTTATTTGTCTTAAACAAAAGAAAATATAGGCGGGGGTGGGGAATAGTTCCCACTGTCATCCCAGAGCTTTTCTAACTAGTTTGGTTCACTGTGAGCAGATTTGTTCTGCCAGTGGCTGAAATTCAACATGCAGTTGGGGGATGGTGGCCCAGAAATAAGTTACAGATGTTGCAAGATGATGAAGAAAATCTATGTGCAGCAGTCATTTTGCAAATTCGACACCTTTTGGTGGGAAAGAAATAGAGATAGGTGCAGGGAAAGAGAAAGGGATATCCAGACATAGGAGTTTCCTTTTGGGCCGGGGGATATGAATGCATTCTAACTTTAGATAGGAAGGCATGACATTTTAGCTCTATCAAAATTTAAAAAAATAATGAGACTAATAATTGGTGTCCCACAGTGAGAAATGGAAACATGGAATTGTTTTCATGTCTAAATAAGTTTGAGAAAAACTTCCCTCTTGAAAATTGATGATACTCATTTACAATTAAAGACTCTGAGAAGTTCTGGGTCTAAAAATGCTGTTTAACACTCTCCAACCCATCCTTCCCTGAGTGATTGGCACAGTGTTTCCATCGGTATGGAGTGAGTGGCATACTAGGGAACACCATTTGGGAAACAACAAAATTTGAAGAACCAGAGGTCTTCACCCATGAGAAGGGCAATGAAAAGTTGGAATTTTAATTTCTCTGTGAGTCTCTGCTGCAACCATTTTACACAAAGGATAAATGGCAGGCTAAAAATAGACCCCGCTTTACTTTCTCATATTCCCATTTCATTTGTGAGAGATGGACCACAGCATCTGCTGGTACAYATGTTTCAGAGGACAGAATACAACCCTTTATGTTCAGCTATTTATCATCAACAGATATTGGAACTGGCTGGGAAAAAGCCAAAATAAAAAAAAAAAACTAAATAAAATAAAGTAAAACAAAATGAAAGCAAATCAGCCTGGCTTGTGGAAGGGCTGCCGTTGGTGCAGCCAATGGGCTTCCATTGTCTTCCATGTATCAAGTCCTCAGAAGAATGGCCACCTGGGAAYGGGGCTAACTCATGGTATGATTTGGGGATAAAAATTGGGGGTCTAGAAAAAGCAAAACTTCACATGAAGATACAAAGACTTTTAACAGCAGAGATCATTATAATTGGAATCTGTGGGAATTCCCTTTTCTGAATATGCTACTGAACATTCTCCCCAGACTGCAATTTTTTATCATCTCTCTCTCTCTCTAAAGTTCACAGAATTTTTTCACCTTCTTTCCACTTTCTCACATTTTCGTCTTCCACGCTTATGTGAACACCATCACACATTTTCTCTTTCTCTTTTATCGTTAATTCCCTTTTCCTCTTCCCTTCTTTACAGCCCTTGTGGAAGGGAGAAGGGACACACACATTCAGTTCTCACAGCCCCCCCCCCATCAGGACTATCTCTTTGAAAACTCTTCATCACCTAAACAGCAAGATATCAAAATCAGCCCTTGGTAGTGATCTGTCAAAAGGAAAATGAGTGGAAACTTGTGGAACAATTATTAGACTGTTATCATTTCTTTAGCCTTGACCTTTCAGTAATCCATAAATAAATGCCACTCGTTCCAAATTTGATAAAAGTAAACAGCAGAATTCCCATAATGGCCATCTGACAGAAATGTCATTTTTATTGAAGTCAAAAAAAGTGGCATTTCTTAGCTCTTTAATAAAATTAGGATTATTAAGAGAAGTAAATGTTGAATTATCTCAGAAGTCTCATCCACACAGCAAGATCTATGAGCTAATTTGCTTGGCAGAGTCTCCACCATTTAAGTAAAAATGCTTATACTTACAAAGGTTTTTTTTTTTTTTAATATAGTTAAATTTAATTTAGTTGGACATGTATTTTTATATTAAAATGTATTTGGCTATCCAATGCCTTTTTCTATGGTCTCTTTCTCTCTCTCCAGGGAGCAAATAACTTGGATAAAAGTGTGACAAAGACGGAGAGTGCTCGGCTCTTCAGGATGTGGTATGGCTTCGACCACAAGTATCCTTTAGTAGTGGGGACCTAGCAGATCCTGCCTCATGGCAGGGGATGACTCTGAGCGCTTGTCATCCAGGTATGCGCTCCTGCTCCTCCAGAAACACCGAAAGGTAAAGCAAAACCACAGCCCAACTTATAAAAAAAGAATGATTTTTTTAAAAGTATAGTTCATACCTAAGTGTTACATGGAGCTAACGTGAAATCTCTTCGTCACATGTATTTGATGTTTTGGTGGCAATCTGATATTTTCTAATGCCAGATGATGATGTTGGATGTATGGTCCTAAAGAATCTATTTTACTGTTCTTTGTAAAGATCTTACTTCTGATCAAGTCACCCAAGGGGACCTGCTTGGTGGATGGCATTGTAAGGAGCGGTCTCAGCAGCCTGTGGCCCAGGTGACCTGGAGCTCTTCCTGCACCCTCTCTGAGGAGCCCATTTGTGAACTTTTGTTTCACGCTGTAAAAAAAAATGAAGGGATAGGAGTGAGGGTGGGGTGAGAATGAAGGCCCCTGAAGGACCGAGGAGACTGGGTTGGTTCATCATAGTGCAAAATGGCATTTTTTCCTCCAGGCTCACTTGAGTAAGCTTTTTTCTGGTAAAGGGCAATTTTAAAATTCTAGCAATCAGTGTAAACATAGGAGCTCAGACACACCTTGTCATGTGGTTTCAAGGCTGAGAAGTCAGCCCTGAAGTGCTTTGCCATTGTGAGTTGCAGTAAGCCGTCCATCTCTAATCCCAGGCAAAAGCACAGGGAAGAAAGGAAAGAATTACACTGTGAATTGAATGTGTTGAGTCTTTGTAGCTCGTTTTCCAAGGTCATAAGTCCTTCTCCTTTCAGTGAGAAAAATGTCAGTCACTAGGTGATTTTAAGCCCCTAAGCAATGATTAAAGCCACAAGGAATCAGTGGGAGAGGAAGAATTAAGAACAGGAAAAAAGAAATACAAAGAACCAGTGAAGAACAAGAGGTTAAAATGGAAAGGGGAAATAAAGTAAAAATATATATATATATATATATATATATATAGGAAATTCACATTTGAAAGAAAACAAGTTAGAAGGAATAACTGCAGAAAATAGAAAAAAAATTAAGACAGAAGGGAAGAGAAGCCATTTGAAGGGATAAGCAAAAGTAAAACAATGTGAGAATCAGAAAGTAACTCTGCCAAAAGAGAATGTTCCAGGAATTACAAATTGGTGATGTGGAGGGAGAGGGCTTTTGAGGTGACAGCTCTGTTGTCCCGGGCCAGATATCTCATCTCGCTCAGTCTGAAGCTTTTGTGGCCAGGGTGAGTTACCACCATCTAAGAAGCAGTACAGCTTGGCCATCAACTAGCTCTTGCAAGTTCTGGTCTCATTACCTACCGGAAGCCTTTCTGGTCTCCCCAAGGAAAGCTAGTTCTTAGCAAGTTATTGCTGGCTTATGGTCTTGGGTTGATTTATTTTCTAGAAGTGGGATTTGCCCCTGCCATTTCTTATAAGTATCTGATAGCCAAATTTGTACGAAGCTATTCTTACATTCTTCGACTGAAGAGTACACATAATGAGATATACAATAAGAAAATGGTGCATTGGAAATGTGCTAAAAGATTWTTTTTTCCCAAACTCTGAAAGTGCCTCAAGGAAAGCTTTAGAATGAAGAAAAGGAATAAAGCAGAAAAAAATTAACTTGGAGACAGAAAATGAAAGTTGGAACCTACCCAAATCTTTAGCTCAGAGCAGTGACACTAAATTCAGATGATATCATAGTTTTGAGTCTCACTTTTCAACAGGGGTTTATTTCCATACAATTATGGACAGACTAGCAGAAATGAAAGCAGATTTATACTCCCGGTAATACCTCTTCGTGTGGCAATTTGTCTTCCTGGGCATTCATTCTAGAAACTGCGGTTGCTGCCATCACCACGCAAATGTATTTTCACTTAGACAGCAGAGTTTTTGTGTCCTACTTATCCTCTGAGTGTCTACATAGAGAACAGCAAATCAACCAGTCTCAACTCCACCATCTCTTGATGAATGTGTTTTTAGAGACAAATTGTCCACTTGACATTTAATGTTCATTCTAGGTTCACCTAGAACCCAAGCGATGTGCCCCATGAACCTCAGGCCATGCCAGCCATTGTCAATAGAGGGGTGATCCCTCATCCCAGGGTCAGGTTGCCCAGATGGACCAAATAAAAATTTTCAGGAAGCTGAAAGCAATGGATTATGCACTTTAGAGCTACTCAGGCTTTATTTTAGTAAAATCATTTCGTGCCAATACGGCATAAAGAAGTATTGACCAAAGAAAAAAAGAAGAAGAAATAGGGTTTCAAACACACCTGTATCAGCCAGGGTTCTCCAGAGAAATGGAAACAGGAAAAATAATTTACATATGCATGTATATACATATAGATTTATTTCAAGGAATTGGCTGATACAGTTGTGGGGGCTAACAGCTGCAAAAGTTGAAGGCCAGGCTCTTGATCCAGAAGCTCAGGCAGGAGCCGATATTGCAATCTTGAGGAGGAATTCCTCCTTCCTAGGGAAAGCAGTGTTGCTCTTAAGACTCTGTGGCTGATGGGATAAGCCCATGCACATTGTTGAAGACAATCTCCTTTACTTAGAACCAAGTGACTGCAAATGTTCTGCACATCTCCAAAATGTCTTCAGCAGCACATGTCAGTTGGGGTTTATGTGTAACTGAGAACTCTAATCAAGCTGACATATAATACTAGTCCACACAGCACCCAATGCACATCCAGTAGGTGCCCAATATTTCAGACCCAAGGATTAAAATACCTTCTTAATTATATCATTATTATCAATAAAACAAACCACTGGGGCTCACTYATTTTTTATCTTATTTTTTATAGCATGAGTAATTCACATATTAACATAAAATTTTTCCCAAAACTACAGGGGAAAAAAGTCATACAAATTAATATTCACTAAGAATGAGCAACGGTTAAGCACTGGGTTGAGTGCCTTTGCATTTGGAGTTTGATCTCACCTCCCAGCAAGGCAGGAGGTTGGGAGAGTCGGGAGGGTATAAGGCAGCACAAATGGCCCGCTGATTAGATAGATTGGTCTCTGTGCAAATCTGGGCTTCCCTGTTTAAGAGCCTGGTTGGAAACCTACGGTGCCAAAATGGATGATTAATTAAGATCGCATAATGATTCACTGTGGGCAGCAGTTCTGAATATGGCAGTGCAAAGAAGAAATCAAGAGGTAGGGGAGGAGAAGGAAAACATGTCACCAGGCACACGGGTCTGTGTCATCTCTATAACCATTCTTTTTGCTTTATTTCATTCTTCAGCTATCCTCTTCTTGGTGGAAAAACTAAACTCCCAGATAACTTAATGAACTTTCTGAACTTTCCACAGTGAATGAGATTTCATTTCCATAGTCCAAGTCCAGGCCTGTGTCACTCCAAAGTCCCTGAGTATACTAAGTTGAACTTCACTGTTCACAACTCTGTGTCCACGGTATCTCCTACTCTAACTGTAAATCCTCGTATCTCAATATGTTCATGAAAACTCCATGAGTAATTATGATTTCTTCTATTCTGTTGTGCAGCGCTCACTTTTCAAACATTGGTTGGCAATGTRTGGGGTGAAAATAAGGTTAGGGGTCTTTGCTGGCCACCCAGCAGGCACCCTCACGAAGGARTCCCCGAGTCCTCCACTTCTCAGGGGCAAAAATGTACAAGARAGAATCTAAGTGTGGTTCTGTTTCCTAAGAGATGAACTCAAGCTAACCAAGCTCAAAGGAGGCAACGGTATAAACCAGACACCAAGTTCTTAATTCATCCCATCCCCCAGGAGGAGAAATACCCTTTTCCAGCAATGAAAAGGCTCAAGTTACCACTGGTCCCTCAGGTCCCCCCTCGCCTGCTCTTGCTCCTGGCTCACTCAGCTCCGGCTGCCCTGTCCTTCCACAGACACAGCAGGTGCTGAATCTGCTTCCGGGCCTTAGCACTGACTTTTCCTTCAGATAGTCAATACCTCTGTCCTTCCCCTCTTTCCTTCAGCTTGTCCCTGAGACCCTCCTGGCTCCATGTTTAAATCAGCAGTCTTACCAAGAGCACTGTCTCAGTACTTCCCTGCTTAATTTTATTTTATTTTTTTCCACTTATCGCCACCTGACACAGAATGGATTTAGTTTCAGGTCTTCTCTAAGCACCTATTTAGGATATATGCTTTCCGGGGGGCAGAGATTTGGGTCTATTTTTGTCCTCAGGGTACCTGGCAAGGAGTGAATACTCAATAAATATTATCTGTTGAATGAAAGAATGAATCGATCAGGCGAGCAAGAAAATGAACGATATTTTCTATCCAGGGCCCCCTTCATTTCAGATATTGATGGAGCAGAAATGCCAATTCATTATCCAAAGGTTACTAAATGAATCTGAAGGCAGAGCAAGGCCAAGTGTGGATAATCTGAGTGTTCCCATTCAAGCTGCCCCGAGCGCACACCCACGCATGGCCCAGCCTCAGTATCTCTCTCCTTAGACAGGGACGGTCCCTCTCAGCAGACTTGGTCCCAGTTGCTTCAACTGACCTCCTTCCTCTGTACGTTCTTGCTAGAGGGGAAAGGAAATGTTTATTCTCATCAATCTTCTTAATACATCCATGAGAATTCTGTAGATTTAATTCAGTAGTAAGCTTGATTAACAATGCTCCCAGGTGTTCACCATTTCAAGGCTAGGTTTCCAATTAAAGTACTATCATTACTGACTTCATATAAATGAAATTTTTTTTTAAGAAGGCACAAAGCAGTCTGACCTCTTAAACGAAAACAGAAATGGCCAAAACGTTAGTCCTAGTAACTTAGGTGTCATTAGTGGAATGATCTGGTACATTCAAGCCTGGCTCTGGATGAGAAGCTACTCCTCTGTGTGGGTGACTTGAATTTAGCTCCTCTCACCAATCATGTGTTGATTTGATCAGCACCAAACTCAAAATTTTAGATTCCCCTATCCTATCCTCCCCACTCATAACATCATATAATGAAGAGCTTAG